ATCAATACATATATGAACAGATAAGCAAAGGTTTGATTAAGTTTGGTTACATCTGGTGATTCTTCAGATTTAGGACAAGAAACCCTTTCCTACCTTGCTGGAAGGCAAAAGACTTACTATAGCATTTTAAAAATAATCCCTTAATATTTTCTAAAATATCAAATATGCAAACCTGTCCTTTGCCCCAGCAATGCCAGCTTTGAGAATCTATTCATAGACATAAAAGCCCAATAAAATACTGGTATTGCATAAGGATAGTTAGTGCAGTCTTGTTTTAGAAGTAGCAAAGTGCTTAACCATTTTTCCTGATGATGGAAGTACCACCCTTCAATAAATCAGTAAGGAAAATGTTGAATTAAGTAAACACTGAAGATTTCTGGGTAAGATGGCACAGTAGGAAGACCCTAGGCTCACCTGATCCCACAGATACAACTAGATAACACACACATCAGTGTAAATAATCCAGAAAACAACCTGAGGACTGGCAGAACAGAGTCCCCACAACTAAATGTAAAAAAGAGGCCATATTGAAGAGAGTAGGAAGGGTAGAGACATGGTCAAGAGCTAAATGACCTTGAGAACTGTCCATGGGAGGGAGGGATGCCTGGGCATGGAAAGCAAAGAGTAACAGACCCTCACACCAGGCATCCCAGGTACAGGGAGCCTGCATAGGAAGAGGAATCTTTGTAATTTGACTTTGGGAACCAGAGGGGCCTAATTTCAGTAATTCTTACAATCAGTAGGGTGTAAGGATTGAAACTTTAAAAGTCAATAGGCCCCACTCTGGGAGGGCCTGGAAGGCAATAAGAAAATGACTCCCTACCCTTAAAAGGACAACACAACAAACAGCCCCAGGGAGATACAGCATAGAAGCAGTAGTTTGAAAAACATCTGGGATTTATGGAAGGGACATTTGTTTACTAATCTCAGACCATGTGCTAGAGGGGCAGGGGTCTTTAGGAGACTTCAAGAACAAAAGAGCTGGCAGACACCAATTCCTTCCCCCACCCCCTAGTTTAGGCATTTGTATACCTGTGGGACAACACTCTCTACCTAATTTGTTAACAGTGTGCCCCACCCATGCTTCTTTTGTAGACCTGCCCCCTTCAATACACTCTTGACTGGAGCCCAACCGAAGCAGTGCCACAAGCCTGGCAGTATGTAAACAGCCCCAACAGGGGCCAGCACCACCCCAAGGTGACTCCTACCCTGGGGAGAGGGGAAGATAACTACACACACCAGTCTGACTGTGGCACCAGCACTGGGTTAGGGGCAGACATCTTCTCTGACTGCTGGTCCTACCCATCAATGAAAACTTTACGGGGGACAAGACAGGGGAAGCACCTTACAGTTTGGTGCTACTGCATTTCTGGCAAAACCTGGTCTGACTCAACTCAAGTCCAAGGCGGCCCCAGCCCAGCCCACTAACAACACAGGGACCCAACCCTGCCCAAAACAGGCAAAAAGAGCAATTGGAGATGACTAGACTGAAGGCAAAAAAGACTCAGCCATAACACAAGGGCGCACACAACATAATAGGAGATACCCTTGAAGCACCAAGTTCTGGTGAGCAGGGGACATTGCACAGCAGGGCACTACAGGAACTCTTCATGAGGCCACTACTTCCAAGAGAGATGTAGCTGACTTTCCTAACACATAGAAGCAGACCCAGAGAGTTAGACAAAATGAGGATTCAGAGGAATATGTTCCAAATGAAAGAACAGGACAAAATTACAGCAAGAGAGTTAAATGAAATGGAGATAAGTAATATGCCTAATAAAGAATTTATAGTCATAAAGATACTCACTAGAATTGAGAAAAGCATGGAAGACTTCAGTGAGGAGGTCCCTAACAAAGAGAAAGAAAACATAAAAAGAACCAATCAGAGATAACAAACTCAATAAATAAAGTTAAAAATACACTAAATGGAATAAGTAGACTAGAGGAAGCAGAAGAATGGATCAGCGACCTGAAAGACAGGAGTGTAAAGCAATCAAGCTGAACAGGAGAAAGAAAAAATAATAATAAATTAAAATAGACTTAGGGAACTCAATGACACCATCAAACATAATAACATTTGCATTATAAGGATCCCAGAAGAAGAGAGAGAAAGGGGGGCAGAAAATTTACTTGAAGAAAAAAATAGCTGAACATTTGGAGGAGGAAACAGAAATACAGATCCAGGAGGTAGAGAGCCCTAAACAAAATCAACCAAGGAGGTCCACATTAAGACACATAATAATTAAAATGGCAAAAAAGTAGTGACAAATAAAGAACTCTATAAAATCAGTGAAAGAAAACCATTACAAAGAAGGGAAACCACATAAGGATATCAGATGATTTTTCAGCAGAAACTTTTCAGCCAGAAGAGAGTGTCCTAATAGATTTAAAGTGCTGAAAGAAAAAACCTGTAGCCAAGAATACTATATCCAATAAACCTATCATTCAGAGTAGAAGGAAAGATAGAGTTTCCTAAACAAACAAAAATGAAAGGAATTAATGATCACTAAACCAGCTCTACAAGATATGTTAAAAAGGATTCTTTGAGTGAAAAATAAGACCCTAAGTAGGAGTAATAAAAGTAGGGAGAACAGGGGTGCCTGGGTGGGTGGCTCAGTCGTTGAGGTCCGACTTCAGCTCAGGTCATGCTCTCGCAGTTCATGAGTTCAAGCCCCACATCAGGCTCTGTGTTAACAAAACAGCTCATAGCCTGGAGCCTGCTTCAGATTCTCTCTCTCTCTCTCTCTCTCTCTCTCTCTCTCTCTCCCCTTCCCCTGCTCATGATCTGCCTCTCTCTGTCTCTCAAAAATAAATAAATGTTAAAAACTTTTTTAAAAAATTAGGGAGAACAAAAGCAGTAAAATTAAGTATATCTATACAAATTGGTCAAGGGATTCATAAAATAAAAGGATGTAAGGTATAACACCATACACATAAAAATGTGTAAGGGAGCAGAGTAAAGAATGGGTTCAAACTTAAGCAACCATCAACTTAATATAGACTTCTATGTGCATAAGATTTTAGATACAAACATAATGATAACCAAAAACCAAAAACCAGTAATAGCTATGTAAAAAATAAAGAGAAGGGAGTCCACATATGTCACTAAAGAAAGCCAGCAAACTGAGAGAAGATAGCAAGAGAAGAAAGGAACAGAGAATAACTACAAAAACAACCATAAGACAAGTCACAAAATGGCAGTAAGTACGTACCTATCAATAATTACTTTGAATGTAAATAGACTAAATGTTCCAATCAAAAGACACAGGGTGACAGAATGGATAAAAAAGCAAGACCCATCTGTATGTTGCCTATAAGAGACTCATCTCAGACTTAAAGATGTATGGACGTTGAAAGTAAAGGGATGCAAAAGCATTTATCATGAAAATAGAAGTGAAAAGAAAGCTAGGGTAGCAGTGCTTTTATCAGACAAAATAGACTTTAAAACAAAGACTATAACAAGGGACAAAGAAGGACACTATAGAATCATAAAGGGAATAATCCAACAAGAAGATATAACAATCGTAGATATTTATGTATCCAACATGGAAGCTATCCAACTTTCTGACACAATTGAGACTGTTGAAAAGAGACTGTATTTTTCCCACTGCATATTCTTGCCTCTTTTGTCATAGATTAGTTGACCATGTAATCATGGGTTTATTTCTGGGCTCTCTATTCTGTTCTGTTGATCTATGTGTTTATTTTTGTGCCAGTATGATGCTATCTTGATTACTACCTCTTTGTAGTCTATCTTATAATCTGGGACTGTGATGCCTCCTATTTTTTTCTTTTTCAAGATTGCTTTGGCTATTCAGGATTTTTTGGGTTCCATAAAAATTTTAAGGTTGTTTGTTCTAGTTCTTATACTTCTTCCTTACCAATTTGGATGCCTTTTATTTCTTTTTCTTGCCTTATTGCTGTGGCTTGGACTTCCAGTATTATGTTGAATAAAAGTGGTGAGAGCGGACATCCTTGTTTTGTTCCTGATCTTAGGGGCAGACTTTCCACTTTTCAACTTTGGATATGATGTTAGCTGTAGGTTTTTCACATATGGCTTTATTATGTAATATGAGTAAGAAAAAAATCCCTTCTGATACTCTGTGTTGGCCAAGAATAAGAGAAGGGAGCTCTCCACTACTCCTATTTTCCAGTAAATATTCTGGTATCTTCTCAGAGGGTATGTTTGACTAATTCCAACACCCACTCTTGTGCTCTTTAATTATAAGTTAATTTTATATTACACACTTTCATTCCAGTTGCAAACTTTTTTATAAAATGAGTTTTTTTACCCATTGGACAAGTAAAGGAAAAATAACATGCTGTGTTTATGAGTACTTTTTATAATATTGGTATTAGTAATAGCAAATTCATAGAATTAATGTGATAGATTAAATGGTTATACTAATTTATTAATACAGTAATATGCATTGTTAATTTTCTTAATTAATATTCTAGGCATAAATCATATTAATATATTAATTTATGTGTGCATATACACACACATAATGCTTGATATAGAATCCATATTTCTTTGCTTGTTTATGTGGCCCAAAACATAAATTAGATCTACACTTTTTTATTTTAGTTTGATGATGCTTAGTAAGATGCAAGTCATTTTACAATATGCCATATGCATTATAGAAACTATCTTTAGAAAATATAAAGTATGGAAAATGCAGACTTTCTGTGTATACAGAATTTAATAAATGACGATGACTTTTAAATAATATCAGATAGTGAATAATAAAGAAATAATACCACTTAGAAACATTTAACACTTTAACACGTTTTACTGATTGCTTTAGATGTTTTTGGTCTTCTGTGTTCTAGTTGGTGTTTTTCAAAACAATTTTTTTTATAACATGTCATTCTAGATTGTTGTGGGCTTTTCATTTTATATAACAGCAGCTGAGATTTACACACTAACAAATGTATGAGGCATTTTGAAATAAATTACAGTTTTACGTTCCAATTTCCCTGTCTCTTTGTTCCTCCAGGTGGCTTTTACAGTACTTTTTGATTTGGAAGCACTTCTGAAGATATGGTGTTTGGGATTTACTGGATATATTAGCTCATCTCTCCACAAATTTGAGCTACTGCTAGTAATTGGAACTACTCTTCATGTATATCCAGATCTTTATCATTCTCAGTTCACATACTTTCAGGTAATATGAATAATGTCTATTTGTCAGTAGAATTTGTTTCTTTCCAGAGGAAATACCAGTTATGTAATAATAACTATACATAATTATATTAAATGGTTATATACAATTATTATATAATAAACACAAACTTGAGATAGGCCCAGCGACATCTTCAGTGCCAAAAATAGTGCATTCATAAATTATAACATTGTTTTTAAAACTTCTGAAAATTCACAGTGGAGATATTTTAGATGAAATTTTCTCCTAAGATGAAAAAAGATGCATTCCAACTTCACTGACTTTATTTATTAGAGATTGCAAAGCTGTTATTTTCAGAGCAGTTTTAACTTCAGCTGCCAGACTGCAACCTGAAACTCTATACTTCTGATACCTAGGGAAAGGACATGAAAATATAATTCACAGAAATGATAACAAATATCCTGTAAACACATGGGTTAAAAGCTAGGCCTCTAATAATCATTGCCAAACATACTGAAATCACAAAGGATATATGGTTCAAGCTTTCAGTACATCAACATCTTTGGACATAAGCCCTTTGTCATTTGTTGGGTTATATCCATAGGCTTGGTTATAATAAGTGAGATGAGTAGGGCAAGAGATATATACATGTTTAAAACTCTTGGTACAAAATGTACTTCCCAATAATGCCTTTGTATGCTCTTGGGCACTGCTGTCTAGATTCACAAAATCAACATGAGTATTTAATATATATGTTTGATAATTATAGGAAATATGCTTGATAATGAAAACAACAAAATATCTTTTATAGACCTATTAAGTTAACCAAATTAAGAAAAATATTGGTCCCGGGGCACCTGGGTGGCTCAGTCAGTTGAGCTTCTGACTTTGGCTCAGGTCATGATCTCTCACTCTGTGAGTTCAAGCCCCGTGTTGGGCTCTGTGCTGACAGCTCAGAGCCTGAAGCCTGTTTCCGATTCTGTGTCTCCCTCTCTCTCTGCCCCTCCCCCATTCATGCTCTGTCTCTCTCTGTCTCAAAAATAAATAAAAACATTTTAAAAATTTAAAAAAATATATTGGTCCCTATTTCAGCAAGGATACATATACAAAATATATTCATGGTTTTAAAATTTCTATACTTTCTCACAGATAATTTTTTAGTGAAAAGTTAGAAATAGAGTAATCTTTGAATCTAAAGATATTTATTTGAGAATTGTTTACGAGATTAAAAAAAATGAGAACTTTTAAAATGGTAAACATTTGAGGAATAGCTTAGCAAGTCATATGCGAATTTGACCACAAAAATAATGACAATGATGAATTTGTAATTACTCAGAGACATGATTAAAATAATATGATTATATTTTATTTAAACACAAAGCAGTATAAAATTATATAACATATATATGTTATATGTATGTATATCTATAGCTATATATTTATATGTAAAATACCTATAAATGGAAAAATGACAGGAAAGAAATAAACCAAATTATTACAGATTATTAAGTCATTATGTCTAGTTTTTTTATATTAGTCAATTTTTCCCAAAATACCTAAAATTAGTGTGCAAGGTTCTAATAGTTTTATATATATATAGACATAGTCACATAGTACGCAACTCAGTGAGTTTGCAACTTTCTTTTAGTTTATTTTTTGACAGAGAGAGAGAGTAGGGGAGGGACAGAGAGAGAGGGAGAAAGCGAGAATCCTAAGCAGGCTCCACACTGTCAGCACAGAGCCCGATGTGGGCCTTGAACTCACAAACTGTGATTTCATGATCTGAGCTGAAATCAACAGACGGAATGCTTAACCAACTGAGCCACCCAGGTGCCCCCAGTCTGCAACTTTTTTTTTTTTTTTAATTTTTTTTTTTCAACGTTTATTTATTTTTGGGACAGAGAGAGACAGAGCATGAACGGGGGAGGGGCAGAGAGAGAGGGAGACACAGAATCGGAAACAGGCTCCAGGCTCCGAGCCATCAGCCCAGAGCCTGACGCGGGGCTCGAACTCACGGACCGCGAGATCGTGACCTGGCTGAAGTCGGACGCTCAACCGACTGCGCCACCCAGGCGCCCCCAGTCTGCAACTTTAATGTTATCTTTGATTCTGGATTATAATCGATAACAGTTTAATTTATGTTAATGGTTAAGTGATTTTCATTTGTATCTCTCTCTGTTTGACCATGTTTATATTTCCCTAATGAAATAATTAAACACTGCCTGGATTGTTTTGTGGAGAAGCTTAAGTGTCACAAGGATTTTTGCGCATTCACATATAAGAACTGACTGTCTTGAGCAGATTGGCTCTTCGTGGGTCCACTTTGATCTCCCTTGTGGGTCCTCACATTTCTCATCTGACATGGCCTTTCCTCATCGTGTTGGCGGCCTGGCTTCCATTAGTGAATTTCACATTTTCGTATTTAAGTGAAGTCAACAGTTTAGTACAAAATGACTCCCTTTATAACATCAGTTATCTCTGAGAGCAATCATTGGTGTTCTTCATCTATTTATTCAAATGGTATTTACTGAGCACCTACTATGTGCCAGGCACTGTTCCAGAAACGGAGGACAGAGGTAAATATGCAGGGAAGAGCCCTAGCTCAGTAAGCTTACATTCTAGAGGGCAAATAGTTCACAAACAAGGATACAAAAGAATGTGGAATAAAGTTCTGGAAATTCAGTAAAGGAGAAACAAGGGTGAAAAGGATGGAGATTGAGGGTGAGGAGCTATTTTAGATAGGTTGCTCATGGCAGCCCTCTCTGAAGAAGTTGCTTTTGAGCAGAGACTGAGTGAAATGAAAGGGCAAGCCAAGAGAACCACAGGGCAACTGTCCTGAGGTAGAAACATGCTTGCTGTGTTCGAAGAATAGCACAAAGGCCAGCATGGCTGGACTGGAATGAGCATAGGGCACCATTGTCCTGTAGGAAGAAATAAAGTGTTACAAAATGCTACAGCTCTGATGTACCGGATAATTATGATGACATCAGCTGGGATTTATTGTGCATTTACTATGTGCTGGGCACTGGGCCGAGAGCATCATGCTATTGGTTAGGCACCACAATCCTGGGAGACAGAGAGCATGCATGCAAGCTGAAGTGCTAAGACCCTTGATAACTTGCTCAAGACCACATAACAAACAAGTGATGGAAACGCATTACTAAGAAATTTAATTTCATAGTCCATATTCTTGGCCATACAATTTCTGAAGTATCTCACTTGTAATTAGCAGACTGATCTTGAAGAGATAGACTTAGAAATGTGACCAGGAAAATATGCTTTGGAAATAACCACAAAATGTTCTGCAGTGCTTATCTTTGAGAGTATGGTTTACTTTATTTCCTGTCTGTGGAAGCACCAAATCAAAAGGCTTTATTGGGTAAACAGAGTGAAAAGCATATTTATCCCCAAATAGATGAAAAGGCGTAACTAGAGTCACTGATAAGGACTTTGCCTTTCCAAGGATGCAGGCTTTCCCCTTTCAAAATGCTGATCAAATCGACCATGTAGGAATCATGTTAAGTTCTGCTTCTTCCAACTAATGAAATTTTAATTTATCAAAATTGCACAGATGTGCATAGGATGTTTTATTAGAATTTGGGATAGGGCTCAAAATTACTTAGGCAATCTTTTTTTTTTTTTTAATTTATTCATTTTTGAGAGAGACAGAGCATGAGCAGGGGAGGGACAGAGAGAGAAGGGAGACACAGAATCCGAAGCAGGCTCCAGGCTCCAAGCTGTCAGCACAGAGCCGGACGTGGGGCTCGGACTCACGAGCTGCGGTATCATGACCTGAGCTGAAATCAGACACTTAACTAACTGAGCCACCCAGGCGCCCCTAGACAATCTTTTAAATATGGTTTTAATACAAGTGGAGAAAACACACTGTATTGAAAGTTGAGCTATAAGCCAGTTAAATTGTTCCTGTAAACTTGCTCATTTTAGCTATTAACAATTAGATACTGAATCATTTATATCTGAGAATAACAAATCTGATAAGAATGTGAAATCCTTCCATATAATTATTCAGGATATTAATATGAATGCAAATATTTTAATAGTTCTTATGATAAAGCTATTTGCTTATTACTTGGAAAGATGACCTGAGTGCAATATGTTCTGATTTGGGAATATATATAAATTCAAACAGAAAACTGGTAGCTTAACCATGTATATAGCATAATGTTTACTTGGAACAACATGATTTTTCACATAAATTTTCGTTTTTCAGTATTGCAGGGAGGAATTAAAATTAGCAACAAGAAAATATACATTTTCTCAACTTCTTTACATGTGTGTCCATTTAGTTTACTAGTCATGTGGCTGCATTTGGATTCTGTAGACATTCCTATTATTTCACCACAATATATTCTGTTAATTCAAAGTCTAAGGAAGTAAAAGTGGCTTCAAGTATGGCATGATGCAGAGGCTAAAATGGAATCGCAGGGGCTCAGTCTATTTCCTCACTCACTTTTCTTCTGTGTCAGTTATTCCTAAGCTAGCTTTGCTCCATGTAGTGGCAAAGATGGCTCCCAGAGCTCAAGATTTCTGTGGTGCTCACAGTAATGTGAATTGGGAATGAAAAATGGCACACCTCTTACAGGTCCAACAAAAGTTTTGAGGATGATTCAGGTCATTGTGAATACTCCCTCCCGGCCTGGATCATGGACATCACAGAGTCCCTTCTGGTCCTCATGGACCAAGAGTGGAGCAGGAATGATTTGTCAAAAGAAAATCAGGAACAGTAGGAAGCTAGGGATGCTGGAAAAATCCAAACATATGTTATTTTATATGTGTAAAAATTAAATCTAGGTTAAAATTTTTTTAATGTTTATTTTTGAGAGAGAGAGAGAGAGAGAGAGGAGAGAATGAGAGGGGGAGGTGAAGAGAGAGTGAGATACAGAATCCGAAGCGGGTTCCGGGCTCTGAGCTGTCAGCACAGAGCCTGACACCAGGCTCGAACCCACTAACTGTGAGATCATGACCCGAGCTGAAGTCAGACACTCAACCAACTGAGCCACCCAGGCACCCCTAAAAACTAGGTTTTAAAAGCATTTCCTGCTCTTACTCTGTTGAAGAGTATTTATTTTCTGCTACTAAAAAGCATTCACAGTCACCTTAAGCTCTCATCAAACCATCTTGGACAACCTTTCACTTACCATAGTTTATTTGTGCCAAGACTATAGTTTTCCTGTTTTCCTATTTCCTATCTCTTAATCTGGAATCTGTCTTATAATCAGTGGTATGCCATTCTTTAATTGGGAGCACTTTTTATTTTTCAGAGGCACATATAAAAATGTTGACATCTCAGACTTAATGAAAAATTGCTACTTTTCCATGTTTTATATTTCAACCTTGAATTACATACTAAATTATACTTTTAATCTTATAAATATGCCCTTAGGAGCTTTGCCTTTATATTATACTCCCTCTGTAATTTATAAACATTGAATCTTATTTGTCCAACACAATGTTTGGCACATAATAATTAATCAGTATTTGTTAAAGTGAAGAGCAAGTGAATTTATTAATCAGTAAGCTATGGAGAGTTGCCTTTATATATATGCAAAACATCTAAATATGTGTGTGTATTTAGATATAACAAAGATCTAAAAATGCAAGTCTTACATAAGACAGAAGTTTGTTTCTCTCCAGTAGTTGGTGGGTGTCCAGGGAAAGTAGGTGGCTCTGCTCCACACAGTCATGCAGGAAGCCTGCCTGTTGAGGTGGATTGAATCTGTTAGCTTCCATACAAGGCTTCCATTTCTGGTCCAAAGGGGCTACTCCATTCATTTCAATTTCCCTGCCAGAGGAAAGCATAAAGAGTATCCAGGGCAAGTTTATTTAATTAAACGTGCCAAAAGTTGCAAAAATTACTTCTTTTCATGTTCCTTACATCTGAACTTAGTCGACTGGCTAAGTTCACCTAGCTATAAGTGGGGCTGGAAAATGTAGTCTATAGTCCTTGCTAGCCACTTGTTACGCTAAAATTCTGATAGTTCTATTATTTAAAGAGAGGATGGAATGGATATTATGGTATCACTCTCAGGCATAAGTAAGGACTCTTTGATAGTAGATTCTTAAAAAAAAAGTCTATATGTACAATAATATATAGGAAGCTTTGTTTTATGAGACATATAGCTAATGTTGGATTAAGCCTTTCATCTACATTTGAACATAAGAAAAATATCAGTTGTATTTCAACAATATGTATTAGTTAATAGCACTTTGAGGGGTGCCTGGGTGGCTCAGTCGATTAAGCATGTGACTCTTAATCTCATCTCAGGTTATGATTTCACAGTTTGTGAGATCAAGCCCCATGTTGGGCTCTGTGCTGACAGCACGGAGCCTGCTTGGGATTCTCTCTCTCTGCCCCTCCCCAGCTCGCATGCCCTCTCTCTTTCTCTAAAAAGAAAGAAAGAAAGAAAGAAAGAAAGAAAGAAAGAGTAATAGCACTTTGAATTATCACATTATATGTAAAAAAGCTTTTGTTACCACCATTTTCCTTCATTCATTCAGGATTTATTGAGCTCTGGCTAAAAGGCAGAAAGGCAGGCACTGAGATACACCAAGATCTTAGTTATTGTAGTGTTACTTTTTGTCTGTAGCTACTCACATGGAAAAGTGTGATTTTATGAAGTACTGTGAAAAATGAGGTTTTAGTGTGAACTTGTTTAAGATTCAGTGTGAGTAAAAGTACGTATGGTTTTCTCTCCCACAACAGGTTCTTCGGGTAGTTCGACTTATTAAGATTTCACCTGCATTAGAAGACTTTGTGTACAAGATATTTGGTCCTGGAAAAAAGCTTGGGAGTTTGGTCGTATTTACTGCCAGCCTCTTGATTGTTATGTCAGCAATTAGTCTTCAGATGTTCTGCTTTGTTGAAGAACTGGACAGGTTTACAACGTTTCCAAGGGTAAGGATAAAAACTGCAGTCAATTTAATCCATCATTCCCATTTTAGCAATAATGGTTAACATCAAAATAATATCCCTTTAACAGTGGATCAAAAATACTGGCATATTTTTGATAAGTTGGAATAATTCAGTTTTAATATTTAAAATGGTCTCTTTTGCAGGGTGCAGGCACTTGAGCCCGTTTTCAACACTGTTAGATTACACCTCAATTGTAAAATTCTGGAAATAGTCTAATAAAATGAGAGGCTAAAGCCAGTCCAGTTAAAGCTAGAGTTCTTAGTACCTATAGATGAAAGTATAGCAGAGTATTTTTTTTAAGTTTGTTAATTTATTTTGGGAGAGACAGAGAGCACAAGTGGGGAGGAGCAGAGAGAGAAGGAGAAAGAGAGAATCCCAAGCAGGCTCCACACTGGCAGTGTAGAGCCTGACATGGGGCTCAAACTCACGAAATTGTGAGATCATGACCTGAGCTGAAACCAAGAGTCAAGACACTTAACTGACTGAGCCACCCAGGTGCCCCTAGCAGAATCTTAAAATAAAATTTGTTTTTTGTGTCTCTGAAAGTTGACATTTCAAAATCTGTTTCACAGTTCATATATTATTTTTTAATTTTTTTTAATATTTATTATTTATTTTTGAGAGAGAGACACACACACATAGACACACACAGACATGCACAGACACACACACACACACACACACACACACACACACACACACAGAGTGAGAGCGGGGGAGGGGCATACAGAGAGGGAGACACAGAATCTGAAGCAGGCTCCAGGCTCTGAGCTGTCAGCACAGAGCCCGACACAGGGCTCGAACTCATGAATGGTGAGATCATGACCTGAGCCGAAGTCGGACATTTAACCAACTGAGCCACCCAGGCGCCCCTAATTCATTTTTTTAAGATAAGCTTTGTGGGACACCTGTATGGCTCAGTCGGTTGAGTGTCAGACTTCAGCTCAGGTCACCATCTCATGGTTTGCAAGTTCGAGCCTGCATTGGGCTCGCTGCTGTTAGCACAGAACCCACTTCAGATCCTCTGTCCCCCTGTCTCTCTGCCCATCCTCTGCTCATGCTCATTCCCTCAAAAACGAAATAAACATTAAAAAACTAAGCTTTGAAGGCAAAAGTGTCTGTACTCAAAATGGTAGACTTATATAGGCTGGTTATTATTTTTTTTAAGCTCGTGCTAAATTTGTTATGCATCACCAAGCATTTGTTGAGTGTGTATAAAGAGCCAGGCAATTTTGGTGATCTTAGGACAGAAACACGACTATATCCCCAGTCTTCAGGAAATTCTCAGTTGAAGGGCGTGCCAAGTAAGTAAATGCAAAGCATGATAGAGGCAGGCACAAGGTGCTCTGAGAACCCAGAACTAAGATCTGTAACCAGGAATGGAAACGTCCAAGTAGGCTTCTTGGAACAGTCACTAAAGAACAGTTGTACATAGACAATCAAAGTGGAGGAACACAGTGTCCTGGGTTTGGGGACAGAATATGCTAAAGGTCTGCAGTGAGCCTTTCTTGTTCCAGAAGGTAAAGGAGAAAGCAAGGCCAATGGTAAGAGGAGGATACAAGACCAAGGAAGGGTTAAGTTGGATGAAAGTGTGGTTGTATTTAAATGTTCGTTGAGAACAAGCAAGTAGAAGGTGAGGTTGAAGATGTAGGGGACACAGAGGACGATAGCAAAGGGTTCTTGAAGAGGGCATCCAGAGCATAGGCACAAGGATTGCTCTTAGACAAGTGTTGACACGTCCTGCGTGGAGGTGGTGATGTAGGACAGCAAGCCAAACTGAGAGTCACAGCCAGTCTTTATTTTCCTACTACCACAGTACAAGCCACTGGCTCCCAGCATTCCATTTTCCACACTGAACAGCACTGGGTGAGTGTCAGATGGGTGAGTGTATTGTGGCAGGAAGAATACGGAAAAGTGCCTCAGCTGAGGCCTCTTGATGTGACTCTCAGAACAGAAGCACCCAAGCTAGGAATGTGGCTGTTCCTAAGAGCATGGCCACCTGGAGTGGGGGGTGCCGAGTTTCTGCCTGAATCTCCCTTCAGAGACAGACTGTGCACCAAATGTGGTGTGGGGATGGCAGCCCACCCTGCGAGCTTGTGGGGCAGAGCCTCTCCGGTGCCTGGGGCCGGGCCACATAGGATGCTATTGTCTTCAACAAGAGGCTCAGCTCTTCTAAAGGGTTGGGGGCATGCAAGCAAAGATGACAGTGATGTCACTAAGCCCACCTTCTCTTTGTGTGCCCCGTCCCTGGGGAAATGAAAATTGCAGAGCGCCATCGTTCAGAATGACACTGAGACTGTCATTGTCACAGTCCATCTCTGAGCCCAGGTTAATTCAGCACACAGTATTGAAGGCCCACTTAGGGCCAGCCATTGTTCTAGGAACAGGGGATCCTAAAAAGAAAACCACCCCCCGTCCCCTTCTTTATGTACACAGTCTTCTCTTAACGTCAAATCTTATCTTCATCTTTTACTGTCTCCTCTAATCTCACATCACCGATTTTATATTTCTTAGCCAAAGCCTCTTGGGCCAGATGGCTTTTGGAGTTCAGAATATTCTAGATATTACAAGGGTGATATCACTCCCTTCTTGGTTTAATTTGTTTGAGTCAGCACTCTGTAATCAATACACAAATGTTTCTTTAGCAAAACATCAGCCTTTGGGCAAAGAAGAATAAATAAGGACAATAAATAAGTCTTAGGTTAGATTGACTTTCTGCCACTAAATGAGCTACCAAAAAAAAAAAAAAAAAGAAGAAGAAGAAAAAAAAGAAAGAGAAATTTTAGGTATTTTCAAGAATTTTTGAATGTAATAAGAAGGCATCACAGATAAGAGTTTGCACTTCTTGTCATACAGATCTGATTTCTTATCACTGCTCCCTCACTTCTTAGCTATATGATACTAGACAAATTAGTCATTAAGCTTTTATTTTCTCACATCTAAAATGTAGGTAACAATAGCATTTTCCTCATACCATTATGTGGATTTAATAATATACCATACATACAAAATATACAAAATCCAACTCTTAGAAGCATTTTTAAATGTTATATTCTATATAATACAATATATTTGAAGTCGGTATATTAGATTCTGTATAAAAGATCAGGCTGCTTCAGAGCCACCCGACTTAGCCCCTTGGGATTTGCTCTATTTTCCAGCCATAATAGTAATCAAGTAGCATTACGTTTTCAGGTCTCCAATTACTCAATTGTGCCTTTCTGCCTGATTACTTTGACCATCTTAATGAAAGCAGCCAGGCAGCTATGGGGCCCCCTAATCAGTGATTCCGCAGCTGACGGGGTTGACAGCCTAAATGTGTGAAATGACTAGGAGTAGAATTTTCCTCGCACATGAACGCATTATGCATTAAATCCCTGAAAAATAATCAAATTTTGCAAGAAATGTTGAAAACATTGCAGCTACAAAAAGTAGTCATTATCATTCCCAGTCACATAAAGCATCATCCGTTGGTGCTACTTGCCTGACAGGAAATCATCAGAAAAGATGGTTAAAAACACATGATAGTCGATGGTAGATTTCTGTTCAGACACTCATCCATGGGTCTTACTCCCTTCCCTTCTTATAGAGCATCTCCCTCATTATCCACGGGTTGGGTGTTGTGGTAGGTTGGTTAATTATGGTGTTAGCCAAAGTGTACAAAATATGGTTAGCGGGCACCAGCCTCCGAGATGGTGGGAGTCAAGTAAAGATAATAAAAACAAGTGCTGAGTCTTCAAGTTCCTGTTTTACTTTGGGATGCATCATGTGATTTTTCTTATACGTACTTAGAGCTATGGAATGCAGAATAAACTATGTGCGCCCATGAGAGATGCTGGGAGAACACCCATCTTGAAGGAATCCAACAGAGGCAGAGGCAGAGCCAGCCTGACTTGGCAAAGCAGCCTCAGTCTTTGTGCCTGGAAAAGAGCTTTTCTGTGGCTCTTTCGTGAACCAGATTTGGACCCAGACATCTGGGTGGCATATTCTCTCTAAGGAAATAGGACTGGATATGAACTTAAACACTGTTTGATTGGATTTGTATCTTGGGCCCAGCAGCCCACTGTGAAACCCTCTAAGAGGACCTGACAGGAACATGTGAATTCCTAAAACAGCAGCCTGGGTACACAAAGTGATTGCCCACTGCATTGACCCTCTGACAGAGCTCCAGCCACACTGAAGGACCCCAGCTACTTCCTGAAACACTTGAAGGCAGAGAGGTCCTAAAGGATTTTCACTTGTGTTATTCCACAAGTTCCCTAATGGGTCTCTGCCTCAGTTGGCCACTTCTCGACCCATCTCCATTTGTAGCAAAACTTAAACTGTTTCCTGGAACTCTGCTGTTTAAAATGTTTCAAGGTCTTCCTTTCCCTCACGATACCACACATTTTTGCTAGAGTTTTCAGTATCTTCTCTTCTCTATCGCCAGTTACCTCTTTGGGCTCATATTTCAGGATTTCCCCCATCACATCTTCCAAAGGCAGAGAGGGCATCTATCTTGCTCATTAAATCCTCCATGCTTCGCACAACACTTCCCAGTGAATAGGTTTTCACTGAGGAATGAATAACAATGCTAGACCAAAGAAAACTTCTGTGATCCTTCCACACTGTATCAGGCTCAACATCCCAGATTCTTTCTTCCACTGCTGTCCCCTTCCTCTGGGAACCCCTTTACTCTCCATCTCCCTAACCCTTATCCCATCTGAAATGTCTGCATAATTCTATCAGAATGCTTTGGCAGGAAGTAGCAGAAATCTTGACCCCAATCAACTTGAACAATTAGGAAATTTCTCAAAACTTGAGATTAGGTAAACCAGAAAGCCAAGACTCTGAATCTTTCACTGAAATTCTGTTGTGGGCTGAATTATGTGCCCCAAAAATATATGTCTAAGTAACCCAAAATATTACCTTATTTGGAAATAGAGGTGATTAAGTTAACATGAGGTCATCACATTGGGCCCTAATCCAATATGACTGATACT